GAGAGAATCATGGATCGGCTGCCTCCTGCATGCCCCACCCTGGGGATCGAGCCCGAAACCCAGGCACGTGTCCTGACCGGGAATGGAACCCGGACCTCCAGGTTCCTAGGTTGACTGACACTCAACCACTGAGCCGCACCGGCCGGGCTTGCTTGTGACAAGTCCTCGCCACAGCGATGCCCCACATCCTAGAGGATTCCTCTCTCTGCAAAGCTCAGGGGTTTCATGATGTCTCCTCACTCATTTGAGGATGTGGCCTCGCCGGCCATTCCCACCTCAAGGGAGACAGTCACCGCCCCGAGGGGCGGGCAGGCAGACAGACAGACAGACAGACCTGAGCCCGTACAGCACCGTCCCGTCAGGGTGCAGGCGGATCATGCGGTTCTTCACCGTCACTCCGTGCACGAAGGACTTCTTGTCGTTCAGGAAGTAGGTGTCCGGCACCCACAGCTGGTCGGCCACGCGGTTGTCCAGCGTGAGGTTGAGCGGGATGCCGGAGTAGGCGAGCCTCTTGTCCCTCCAGTACTGCTGGAAGTACATGGTCAGCGTGTAATCCTGCAGGAGGAGAGACGGCCGTCAGTGTCCGCTCAGCCGCTGGCCGCGGCCAGGCCGGGGCCCGGGAGGCACGGACCCTGCTTTCTCCCACGTGGGGGCGGGGGGAAGCAGGGGGGCGCTTTCTGGGAAGGCCAACGCCGGGCCGGTCCCACCCGCCCCGCCCCTCCTATAGAAGCCCGATGACAAAGGGCGTAAACAAACACTGAGGCGAGAACCGTGGTCAGATCAGTCTCTCCTGTGAAGCATCTTATAAACAAAACCATTCAACGGGGGGACATGTATCGCCCTGGGCTTCTTTTTTCGGGATCCTAAAGCCCTTTGATAATCTGATGAGAGCACGGCCCCTCTGAGTGTGTGCGCGTGAGCATGCCCATGTGAGTGTGCACGGCTGTGTATGCGTGTGCGCATGCAGGTGTGTCTCTCTGTGTGTGTGCATGCACACGTGCATGTGTGTCTGTGTGCGTGCGTGTGTGCTGGTGTGCCTGTGTCTGTGTGTGCACACGTGCATGTGTGTCTGTGTGCGTGCGTGTGTGCATGTGTGCGTGCGTGCGTGCAGGTGTGTCTGTGTGTGCATGTGTGCAGGTGTGTCTGGGTCTGTGCGTGCACACGTGCGTGTGTGTGCGTGCAGGTGTGTCTGTGCGTGCATGCACACGTGCACGTGTGTCTGTGCGTGCTTGCAGGTGTATCTGTGTCTGTGTGCACACGTGCATGTGTGTCTGTGTGCGTGCGTGTGTGCATGTGTGCGTGCGTGTATGCAGGTGTGTCTGTGTGTGCAGGTGTGTCTGTGTCTGTGTGTGCACACGTGCGTGTGTGTGTGTGCAGGTGTGTCTGTGCGTGCATGCACATGTGCACGTGTGTCTCTGTGTGCATGCGTGTGTGCCTCGAGTTAACCGGCATGACACACTGACGCCCACCAAGACGCACGTCCTTGCAGCATCTCCGGAGCACACACAGGCGGCGGCGGCGGTGACAGCACGCACGCCAACTTAGCCGAAGAAAACCTCTTCCCGGCTGAAGGTGTATAATTCGCGAGGCCCCGCAAATTGCAGGGAGAGATCAACAACAACACTGCTTCGCCGCGCGCGGATCTCCTGGCGTTTATCGCATTACGGCGGCCAGAACACATCTCTGGGGGGAGAACGTCGCTCATTATTCCGCAATTAAGTGATTGACGACGTTTCCCCGGCGCGGGGAATGGAAGGGGAGGATGACTAACCCCGGGAAGGCAAGGCAATCTCCACGCCGCGTGGCACGATTGGAACCACAGCTGGGAGTCACAGGGCACCTGGGCGGCACCTGCTCCCGCGCGTCGAGGATGCCAGGCCTCCAGGTGAATTGCTCTCGGGTCAGCGAAGATGGGAAACGGCTCCACGCAGCCGCTTACATAAGCCCTAAGTGCTGGAGGCCTCCCCGCAGGCGCCTCCACAGTGAAGTTTAGGCTGGGGGGTCTGGGCGCCTCTACGAACACCGGGCGCGTGGAGGACTCGGTCCGTTCCTGTGGCCTGGCTCTTCCCACAGCAGACTCCGCGGTGACTGTCGAACCCGTGTGGCAAAGGGGGAGGAGTGTCCACCTCCCTGCCACCCCCTCTTCCTCCCTCCCTCCTGCATCGGGTATCCGCCTACCGTAGGTCAACACCCTGCCGGGTGCTAGGGACCCAGAGGCTAGATAAACACAGCCCTGGCCGGCGAGGCTGGGCTGGTGGGAGCATCCTCCCCTGCACCGGAAGGTCGCCGGCTGGATTCCCCATCGGGCACATGCCCAGGTTGTGGGTTCGGTCCCTGGTCGGGGTATATAGGGGGGCAATCGACCGATGTTTCTCTCTCTGTCTCTCAAATCAATGGAAACATATTAAACAAAAAAGAAACACAGCAGCCCTGACCGATGTGGCTCAGTGGATGGAGCGTCGGCCTGCGGACTCAAGGGTCCCAGGTTCGATTCCGGTCAAGGGCATGTACCTGGGTTGCGGGCACATCCCCAGTGGTGGGTGTGCAGGAGGCAGCTGGTCGATGCTTCTCTCTCATCGATGTTTCTGACTCTATCCCTCTCCCTTCCTCTCTGTAAGAAATCAATAAAGTATATTAAAAAAAAAGAAACACATCATTTGTACCTTTAAGTAGTTTGCATTCTGGTGGGGTCCCCAAAAATCAAACACCCCTCCCCCCGAGTTACAGTGATCAAGAGAAGGCATTTTGGCTTTTTCTTTTTTTAAAATATATTTTATTGATTTTTTACAGAGAGGAAGAGAGAGAGATAGAGACTTAGAAACATCGATGAGAGAGAAACGTCGACCAACTGCCTCCTGCACACCCCCCACTGGGGATATGCCCGCAACCCAGGTACATGCCCTTGACCGGAATCGAACCCGGGACCCTTCAGTCCGCAGGCCACTGCTCTATCCACTGAGCCAGACCGGGCTCGACTTGGCTTTTTCTTTTTAAAAAAATATTTTTCTATTGATTTCAGAGAGGAAGGGAGAGAGAGAGAGAGAGAAGCATCAGTGATGAGAGAGAATCACAGACCAGCTGCCTCCTGCACGCCCCGCACTGGGGATCGAGCCCGCGGCCCCGGCGTGTGCCCTTGACCGGAATCTGACCCAGGACCCTTCAGTCTGCAAGCCGGCATGCTATCCACTGAGCCACACCAGCCAGGGCCATTATTGGCTTTTTCCAACCAGTCCCCCAACCCTCTACCCTCTGGCAGCCAGCAGTCTGTTCTCCGTGTCCGTGAGTCCGGTTCCACTTCGTTTGTCCTTCGATTTTATTCCTTAAATCCCACACAGAGGTGAATAGACTCGGATTATTAGATTTGCCGGACTGAGTAGCCCTTAAACTCACTTCTGTCTGAATCCCTTCAAGAGGGCAGACGAGGCAAAAATAAATAAACAAATAAAATAAAATAAAGATTTAAAAGGTTCCCCAGAAAACAGGGGTGAATATTTCCATTTTTTCACCGAGAGCCCCTGCTGTCGACTTATCCACCCCGACGTCCAAAGGCCTTTGATTGTGTAGAGGCGCCTCTGGGCGCGGATTTCATCATGGCTTCTCCCCTCCGCAGCGGCGGGTCACGTGGGTCGGCGCCGCCCGCCGCCCGTTGTAAAGCCTTTCCCGGTTCCAAGAAGATGTGCTATCTTTAGGCAGCGAGCCCATTCATTTCTGAGAGCAGGTCTATTTCTGGCTCCCACCCAGAGATGGGGAGGCTATTGCGCTTCCACAAATCACAACAGGAACAATGCTACACGTGCTGTGCGTGAAAGATGTTGGCCTGATCGTGGGCTTGTGTGTGGTTTTTTGTTTTTTTTTTCCTTTTCCTGAACTGTTACTCCTGTCGGCGGGAATGTGGGGGTGGGCACCCGCGCAGGGGGTCACACGAGGCCGCCCTGTCTCCGGGGACACGGCCATCACAGCCCAGGTGTCCACGCCCTCCATGGAGCCGGGGGCCCGAGGAGAGAGAAGCCCAGCGCTGGCCTCCGAGAGGAGGTAGATTATAGTTCCCTCCTGCTTCGGAAGAGGCTTTCACTGTGCACGGGCCCCACAGACTGTGTGGCTGAGCGGGAGGACGGTCGGTCCTTCGTCTGGGCCCCGGGAGACCCGCGTCTCCTCCCGCGGCATCCACACGGTGACACGGTGGCCGACATCCGGACCTGTCACCGTCCTTCACCCGCGCTCCCCTTCGCGTTCCCTCCGACCCCTCTTCCCGGCGGCTCCCTCAGCTCTTCCTTTTCCTCTTAAGACTAGGGAACCCTGGGGCTGCTCATTCCATTTCCTTTTTTTAAAAAAAATATATATATTTTTTTTATTGACTTCAAAGAATCATGGGTCATAATGGGTTGAGACCCACCCCCTGAGCACCCAGCCGGGCCGACCATTCATTCTTAAATGAGTTTCCAGGGGTCAGGGTGGAGCCGTGGCCCAGCCAGGCCACCGAACACAACCCTCGCAGGGCGTCCACGTGCTTAAGCTACATAATCTTTACTCCCTGGAATGGAGATAAGAAACGCCCTAACCTTTGTAATAGAGATTGATAGGATTGGAATCAACTGGTATAAATACAGATGTAACAAGACAACAGGACACAGAACTTAGAAGACAGAACCTACAGAACCTATAGAAGACAGAAGAACTTCGCTGGAGAGAAGACCTGGCTGCGGAGCCCGGGGGGCGCAGCTCATGGGGCCTCTCTCCCGTCACCCCAGGGTGCGGAGGCTCCCACGGGCGCAGGGGTGCCGTAGCCAACGCCGTGGAGGCCCTCGCCGCTGTGTTCATCAGAGTCTGAGGGTGTCGTCGACCACGGGCAGCGGGATGGACAGCTGTGATGCCCTTGCTTGGCGTGCACCTTTGGCACGGAAGCGGCTGGCACCTGAGGTGTGCGGGGCGTGACGTCGCACGTGCTGCCACTCCTCCGGCCACGCTCGGCCGGCGAGTTCAACCCCGTCCCCTGAGAGGCCCTCCGCTCCAGGGCAGTTGGTGGGGACTGTGAATCGAATGAAATAACCGAGGAGAAGGTGTGGAGTGAGGGCCTCCTAATCCTTGAGAAGGGGGCAGAGGAAGGTCATTCAACTGAGAAGTGTCGGGCCCTCCCCGCGTGCCTCAGTGGTCGGGCATCGCCCAAGGAAGCCGGAGGTCATGGCCCGATTCCCCGTCGGGTCACAGGCCCGGGTTGTGGGCTCCATCCCCAGTCGGGGGCGTGCAGGAGGCGGCCAGTCCATGATTCTCCCTCATCGTTGATGTTTCTCTCTCCCTCAATAAATCAATAAAAAATATATTTTTTAAAATAGGAAGATAGAGATGATAGATAGATGATAGACGGCTGGATGGGGAGGACGAATAGGTGAGTGAGGTGGGGGGGGGAGGGAGAGAGGCTAAAATGGGGAACTCCTGGGGCACCGCTCTCTCTGCGGGCGGCACGGTGGGTTTTTAATGTTTCATAATTCCCAAATTTTCTACAAAGGGGATCTTTTATTCGCAGATACAACCGTCCGACTCTCTGTTCAGAGA